GGGATCTCCCTCCCGGGGCGAATGGCTCACACCAGGGAAGGGGGGCTGGAGGGGGGGGCGCCGCGGGTGGGGTGGGGGGGGGGGTGGGGGGGGGGGGGGGGGGGGGGGCAGCCTGCGCCCAAGGCGGGCATCCTCATTCGCTGGGAAGAAAAAAGGCCCTCCCGGGACGCCATTGTTGTTCGGGCTGCCCCTGCCACGCCGGGCGTGGGTGCGCCTGCGCCTGCGCCGCGACTCGTACGATGTGTGCGGTGCATATGCTGTGCCGAGGACGGCCTGCCGATGACCGGGCCGGGTCGGGCCGGGCCCGGCCGCGCCGTGCTGGCCAGGCTGGCACGCACTCGGGCATTCGGTTCGCCCCGGAGCCGGAGGGGGGCGGGGCGGCCCTGTGCCGGGGTCCCAACCGACCGACCAGCAGCCATGTGAAAGTAACCTCGGGAGGACAAGCCCTGCCCTGCTGGCTCATCGTCCTCCACGCTCGCGGGTCCCTGGCTCGATTGTCCCCCTCCCCACAGTGCCCGGGGGTCGGCACTTTGATTTGCCTTCGTGCCTCTTGCGTGCCAGTGTGGACCTACCGTTCTCTGTGCGGCGGGGGGGGGGGGGGGAGGAGGAGGGGACCCAGTTGTTCGCCTGGGATCTCGGCACCGGTCGACCGACCCTATGGCCTCCCTCTCTCGCTCTGTCTCTGTATCTCTCGCTCTCGGTTGAGGGAGTGCGCGTGCAACCTGCGCGGCCCCACCTGAGCTTCGTCGCTTGTTGACCACGTCTGATATAGTCCATAGCGGGTGTGGCAGGCAGGGGGGGGGGGGGGGTTAGGAGGGCCCGGGTCTCCTTGCCGGGCCGCGAATGATGGAGCTGCCCTCTTGCGGTGTACTTGTCTTCCCGAGCGGGGTCCCAGCGGGGGCGCTCCACCGGCCCCAGAGAAAGGGCGCTGCCGGAGGATCCTCGCCTGATCCGGACCCGCGGCCTTCCGTCCCCCCTCCCCCCGGAAGAGGTCGAGCCCGGCCGGACCGTGGGACCTCTGAATCATCATGACTACTCGACCACCCGGTCGCAAGCCCTCCCCTTGGCAACCGGGGATCAGCCGCTGCCGGTTCGTCGGTGTATGTGTGTGTGGAGGGGGGGGGGCTCCCGCGCCTTTCCCGGCCACCTGTGCGCGACCGGGTGGGGGGCTTCACCCCGACGCGCATAGTATCGGCGAGGATCGCGCGCGACCCCCCCCCCCCTTCCCCTGGGCGCGGCGCTTGGTCGGGGTGAGGCGCTCTCGGGCTGGCGGAACTGTGCGGGGTCTCCCATCCTCCCGATGTGCCTCTTCTTGGTGCCTGTTTGCAGATGGGAGGGGCGGCTGCCTGAGCGTGTGCCCCCCGCCCCCCCCCCCCCCCCTGCCGAGCTCCGTCCCAAGAGAGCAGGGTATCGGACCATTGGCTCCTCGGTGTGTGCGCCGCTGAGGCCTCGAAGGGGACCCAGTCCGTCAGGGCCACGACCTGGCCATCCTCACACACACGGCACACAATCCCCCTGTTGCCTCTATCCCCCCTCCCCTCCCCCCCTTTCCCTGCTCCTCCCCGCTCTCCTCTCCCTCCCGTCGGCAAGTCGCTGCCTCCGTCGAACCGACCGGCACCATCTCCCTCATCTCCCTTCCCCCCTCTCCTCATCCTTGCACGCACGTCCCCCGTCGGCACACGGAGCCATCCTCCTCCCCAGAAGACAATCAGTACGTCGATCCGCTCCTCTCCTCTCTCCTCCCCTCTTCTCCCCCCTCCCCCTCCCCCCCTCCCCTCTCTCCCCCTCTTTCTCCTCCTTGCTGGTACCGCGCGGCCGCACGCATGAGCCGGTCATATGGCCCTCGCGCGTGACTTCGCTGCACGGCCCGTCGATATTGCCCCACGGGGCCCCTTTGAGTCCTGGTGGGAGATATTCTCTTCTTCTCCGACACGAGAGGGAGAGGGTGTGCAGAAGAGCACGCCGTGCGCGGCCGCGCGGCCTACGCGGTCCCCGGATTGTGTGGCGGCCTTCCCGCCCGTTGTGTCGCTCTTTCCTCCCCCCCCCCCCCCACTCCCCGGGGCCTCGTTTGGGCGACGCACATCCACTCCGACCCCCTCCCCTCCCCGGCGGGCCGCCCTTCCTTGGAAATGACCGCCGGAGCAAGGTCATCTCTCCTGGGTGTCCCCCCCCCCCCCCCGCCCACCCGACCGGTGGCGGCGAAGGACGGTTTCATCCGTACTTTTCCCTGCGGGCGGCTCCCTCGCGCTTTTCTCTCCCATGCTCTCTCCCCTCCCGTTCCCCTGCTCCTTCAGCCAGGTGGCAGGGCCGCCAAGCCAGCTCCGACGTCCGTCGGCAGTTAAGGATACCCCGGCGTCTTGACACGCATTGTGCACCTGTGTGCTCGCCGCCGAATGCCTGCTGGCGGGTGGGTGTGTATATGCATGCGTGTACGGCATCTGTCCCCCGAGGGAGGGGGGGGGGGCAGTTTCGCCCTTTTGTCGAGTGCGAATAGGCGGCTGCTTGTTCACGTCCGGCCATATGGTGGTCCTCTTGCGGTCCGCCATCCGTCCTGTGACTCATCCTCGGATGCCAAGCGCGCTTTCTCAAAGCCCCGGCCCGGCCCGGCCCGCCCCGCCCCGGCCCGCCCCGCTCCGCCGCCCTCCTACTACCTGGGCCTCTTGTCCGGCAATCGTGTGAGCTATTCTCCTGGCAGAGAGACCAGGAGGGAGGGGGCGGGGGGAGGGGGTCGACACCGTCAATGTTCGGACCCAGCAGCATGTTGTGCTGTGGGGCCCCCCAAGGAGCGGGGCCACGCGCATCCTGGTATCATCAGGGAGAGAAAGGGGACTGTTGTTTTCGCGGGCTCCCCCTCTGGCCCCAGGCTTGCGTGAGTGTGGGCATGCACCGGGCGCTCCGGGTCTCGCATTATGCATTTGCCGGTGCTTCCCCGCAGCCCGGCTGCCCCTCTGCCGGGCCCTGCGCGGAGACCTGCCCTTCGCGGTCCGCGCCCGATCGAGCTCCATTTTCACGTGCATGCTGGTCCATTTGTCAGGTTGTGGCGGCCGGAGGCGTGGACTTGCTCCCCCTCCCGATACCCCCATGCATTGTCAGGGGAAGGATGTTTGTGCGAGTGTTGTGTCTCTTCCTCCCTATCTGGCCTCGGTGCAGACGGGCCGCCTGCCGGAGCCACATGTGTCTTGATGTGCGCCGGTTCGCGTGCTCGGTCTGTTTTTCACACCCGCCACCAGCCTCCGGGGCTCCCGGTCGCGGTGGAACTGGTGTTTTGCGTCCTCGGCCGGCACAATGCCAAAGGAAGGGGGCAGAGGGGCTCATGCGCGGCTGCGGCCGGCCCCCTTGGGCTGTAATTTTTCCGGTCGCACGTATGAGCACATGCCTCCTGCCACTGCCAGCTCCCGGGAGGACACGCGCATCTGGCATGTGGCAGGGGCAGCCCTGGCCGCTTCGGTAACTCTGAGTGTATGCGAGCGCTCGAAAGGCTGCTTCAGTTGCGCTGCCGAGGCCCGGGCGAGGGGTGGTGGTGAATGGGTGAGGCCCAAGCAGCTCGGTCTTCCTTGCCTCCGTTGTCTCTCTCTCTTCCTCTTCCTCTTCCTCCACGCATGCTACATCCCCCCATGCCTCTGGCTGGTTTCTGGCTGTGAAGGCCCTCCTTGTGTGTCATATCTGCCCCCCTTGGAATCTCCAGCAGTCTCGCGACTTTCACGTTCTCTTGTCAGGAGCGGAGCCCCCCCCCCTCCCCCCTCCCTCCTTGGCTGGCCGCACGCGCATTTTCATGTGTGAGAGTATCTTTGCAATTTCGTGCCCAGGCATCCTCTGTCAGTGTGGTGAAAAAAATCGCCTCCTGACGCCCCTTTTCCAAGCCAGCTACTAGGACATGATCCTTCTCCCCCCCCCCTTCCGAATACTCTCCTTTTCCTCTCTCTCTCTCTCTCCCCTCCCCCACCCACCCACCCACCCATCGGCCCAGCCTCTTCTCGCCTTCTGACGC